CAGTTGGTAATATATGGGAAGAAAAAAAGAACCTATACGATACAAAAACACGCAAGTGAAGTATTATTTCGAGAGCAGTCGAAAATCTATATATATAAATAAACAATTATATATATATATATATATATATATATATACATACATATATATATACACGCGTTTCAGTTGGAATAAAATCTCTCTTGCGTATCTACGGTGTGCAAAACTTTTTATATAATTTATTGTAAATATAAATACACAAAAATTGATTTGAAAATAATAATAATGTACAATTGAAAAATATTATTTAAATTTTCAAAGAGAGATAAATTGTATAAAAATTGTCCGCTGTGGCACTTTCTTTAAACGCAATTTTACTTGAATGTTTCAGAATGTATCTTTTCCTTTACTTTACGTATATGAATTTAACTTTTCTCTTTTCTTTAGAAGAAAAGTATTTTCGAAATACACACATTATTTATTAAACCTTAAATGCAAATACTATCGGTCGAATTATAACAACACGCTGAAGCGTTTGCGATTTCTTTTATATATTCAAATTAACGCGAATATATTTAAAAATAATTTCAGGAGAAAGATACACGTCCGTATAAAATATGAATTCGTATAAGTGCGCGTCTTACAACAAGTAGAGAATAATTATGTATGATCGTAATTAGTGAAGCCAGGGTACTATATGTAAATTCCACGTTAATTTTAATTTATTGCGTGCTTGGTATGCGCTTGGTGCTAGTAAGTTTGTATTCGATATATGATATTTAGATTCTCCTGTCTTCCACGATGCGCTTAATGATCAACGGTGAACGTCAGAAGAACTAAATATTATATATAATTTACTGTGTATATTCATTTGTTTATATTTTTTAATTTATGTGTTAATTGTATGCAAATAATTAGAAAGAGAATGAAAGAGTGAGAGTGAGAGAGTCAGAAAGAGAGAAAGAGAGAGAAAGGGAGACACAAATCTCAATTGAAAAAAGATAAATAATAAAAATGTACGGAAACTAGGGAATCTTAGATTTTTTTGTTTTCAAAAATATCTCTCTTCACATGGATACAATTCTGTGAATATTTATATAAAACTGAATATTTATATTAAATAGTTTAAAATCTGCTTATACTAATAAGGCTTTTAATCAACAGAAAAACAATAGATCTGATATAACGTAAGTTAAATGACAATTTTGTGTTTATATTACCGATGAGCAATCAATATTTATATTACTCGTCTATTGTAACTGTTATATTATTGAAAAGAAACAATTTTTCAAATCTACAACTAGCTCAAAAAAAGAAAAAAAATGAAAAAAAATGAAAATTGCAAATAATTTTTGTCGTATCATATGAAAATTATGGTATCATATTAAAATAAAGATCATGTGTGTAATCACATGTATAATACACAAAATAAAATCACTCATCTATTAATTCCTTCTTTTTCCTTGCAATCATTTCTACAAGTTCTTTTTTATAGAACTAAAGTTCCTAGTTTAAATTGCACGCTCTTGACGTCCAATTTTTTCCCTATCTCTATGTGTACATACATATACAATATTAAATTTTATATAATAAAGAAAAATAAATGAAGTTCTCTCTACATTCTATTGCTGTTTTCACGTAGTATATACATGTCACTTTGATTATATATATATATCGATTACATATAAACGCATTATTTACATTCTATAGTTATAGATTTGACACAGTCAAAGTTATTATCAAACTAATATATCAACAAATCTGAGAAAAAACCGTGCGTACATATACATATAAGAGAAAGAGAGAGAGAGAGAGTGAGATGTGTTCGATCGCAGAGGTATATACCAATTTTGTCCAACTTTTAAAGTTGAGAGGCCGCTTACACAATGTAAGTTGTGTTTTACAGAAACTCATTCACTCTTCCATCTGGGACGTGATAGATGATTTAAGTGCTATACCACAGGAGAATGGTAACATCTTCTATTTATTTTCATTTATATAATTCACACAAAAATCACTGTGTAATTCAAGGAATTTAATCTTGAACAGTTGTAAGTTATCTTCTGGACCGCGTGCCACACGGTAAAATCTACACGTGGATTGGTCCCACTCTTCTCTTGGCGTTAAATCCTATTGACAAAATGTCTATTAGCAATAATCCCTTATACGATCTTTCTTTTAATAAATATGACAATATCGGCAGTTCAACTCATAAAGAAGTGGTACCTCACATATATGCTGTAGCGTCTAGAGCGCATCATAGAATAGTTCACGGATTCGGAAAACCAAGCCAGGTTTAATCTCGGTTTGCTCTCTTATCTGGATAAGTTCGACCTGTTTTGTGCAAGATATAAGAATGTTTTTTTTTTTTTTTACTTTTTTTTTACTTTTTTCATGAAGATGATTGTTCTGAGTGGAGAAACTGGAGCTGGAAAAACTTTCAATGCGTGGAAAGTGCTAAGTTTCTTAACTAGATCCTCGTTGTCCAAATGCGACGCTCAAAAGCGCGATGAAACCTGCGACATTCTGCAGAAAATTATGTTAGCGCGTAGTTTGATATCGGACTTTACAACAGCGCCTACGGAGAAAAACGATAATAGTTCGAGACACGTACAACTCTTGTGGCTTGAGTATAAAATGGGAAACGTATGCGGCGCAACAATATCATCTTATCTTTTGGAAACCAACAAAGTTACGAAAAACTCTTGCAATTTTCACATTTTCAATCAGGTGAAGTCAAACTAATCATTAATGTTACATTTGTGTGTGTGTATCACATTTCAAGAGACAATAATCTTGAAATATCTTCAATTGAAACAAACATATGTTTCAGATGATCGCGTTTGCGGATCTAAAATTTGAACGTATATTTGAATTAATTGAAAACAGACGATGTTTTGCGTTAAGCGACGTTGATCCTGCGAAGAAACAAGATCTTCGCGAGAATTTTCTCGCAACTCTGGACAGAATGAACGCGCTGGGCTTTACGAGAGATCGGCAGAGAGATATCTTCCAAGTCCTGTGTCTGATCGTTCGTATGAGCAACATACAGTTCGTACAAACAAACGACCGATGCAAGATCGATATCGATAACGAACGTGCGTAACTTAAATAAGACAAGAAATATATAAGGTCTTACGAGCCATTCGCAGGATGTTTGTGCGGAAACTGTGCGTGTATATATAATATATATATATATATACACATGTAACGAATTCTACTTGTAAAAATTTTTACAAGTGAGTGTTTTTTGAATTGAAATCTCAATTCTTAAATTTTTTCGCAATATTTTAAAATTAGTTAGGGGGGTATCCGGGGTCTTTCATATGTGAGATGCAAATCCAGCATCCCGTATGAATTTAAGAATTGAGATTTCAATTCAAAAAACACTCACTTGTAAATAATAAAAAATTTTTACAAGTAGAATTCGTTACATGTGTATATGTATATATATACACGCACAGTTTTCGCACAAACATCCTGCGAATGGCTCGTAAGGCCTTGTATATTTCTTGTTGACAATTTCAACGAGCCTTAAGTCTTACTTGTTTTAAATAAAACAGTAATTTGATAGTTAAAAAAAAAAAATCAAATATTACGTACGGATCTGTGACAGAATCCAAAGAAGCTGTTGAAGATACGTGCAAGTTGGCCTGTTTGGAGAAAGACGATGTCAATCAATTACTTACGTCCGTTCTGATACGTCCGCAAAGTTCGTATCCTTATACCGAGTGTCGACGTAATCTCGGCACGGAGGACGCCTGTCGCTATAGATTGCGTAGCATCATTCGCCATATGTACGAACTTCTTTTCCACTGGTTAATTAGTTCCGTGAACAAAATCATGTCTGCCGGTGGTATCCACAGCGAAAAATTAGGTATATCGGAAAGTTCTTTCAACGTTCCGCAAAATTCGGAAGCAATTTCCCGGCACCTTTCGCGCAGGCATATTGGACATCTTCGGATTCGAGTGCTTCAATACGAACGGTATCGAGCAGCTGTGCGTCAATTACGTGAACGAGAGATTGCAACAGTACTTTGTAAAAAATTATCTGGCATCTTGTCGAGAAGATTTGGAAAGAGAGGATCTTATCGATTATCACGGAGATACAGAATCGCCGGATATACTGAAATTGTACGACGATCGTTTGAACGCGATCGAGAAGCATTTGTTCGCTCCTTCGAACGACGTAACGTTTCCCTTTTGAAAAATTATCGTTTTTCGAAACTCAGCTTCTCAGAGAGAGAAAAACCATCGATTGTGGTAATTTTTGCTTTTTCTAGATCTGTCTGTCGATACCTTCGAGCGACTCGTCTATGTTAATGCGGTACGTGGACGCGCGAACTTGTTCCTCAACGCGGCGATTCTTGTACACGAAAAACGAAAAGTTCGTTATACATCATTACGCAAGTGTCGTAGAATATTCTGCGAGTGACATACTTGCCAACAATATCGATAAGGTACGAGCGCGTATATTAATAGTTATCGCGCATTAAAAAAAAAAAAAAACAAAAAAAAAAACCCAAAATATTAAAACAAGAATGTTAAGAGATTGTCGCGTCTACAGATTCCAGATGAAATAACCACAACGTTCGGTAAGAACAAATTTTTGTATTTCTTAATCAGCGAACGCGAACGACATTACAGTAAAAAACCAAAGAGATCTACGACGCTTTCGAAATTGCAATGTAACGTGGACTTGTTGATAAACGAATTAAACAAGTGTGACTTACATTACGTTCGCTGTATCAAACCACAGTATAGTATTCATTCAGTGTGACAGCATACGGTTTACCGAGTTGTCGGAAAAGTAAAAATCTTAAAAGGAAAAATTTTCAAATTTTTGAGGTTTGATTCGAAAACGTTTGAAATTTTTCCGACAATTCGATATTAATCAAAATTATCTGTTTTTATTTTACTTTGTTTCAAAAACTATTTGTAGACGACTCGATAATCACGAATGGGATCGAGTCGGATTTTACAAACAACTGGTCGGTGCGGGTGTCATTGACGCTTTGCCTTTAGCCAGATGCAAATATCCAATTCGTTTCAGTTACAAGGAATTTTTCGCGCGATACAACAGGAGACGTGAGGGTAAAAAAAAAAAAATTAATGTTACGGCGTGTCTTTGCACGCACATTTGTTATTATATAAATTTATTTTTTCTAATATATAGCGTCCGTCGATTTTGAGACGAGTTGCAGACAGATCTTAAGATCGTCTCGACTAATGGAAGATGAAGACGTCGCGTCTGTGCATTACGGAAAACGTTTGATTTTTCTAACAGAAACCGCGTTTTTACAATTAGAATCTGCTAGAAGGCAACATCGTATTGCATGTGTCAAAAAGATAGAATCTTTCTGGCTAAAATACAGCAAGTATCTCTTTTTCATTTTTACATCTTTTTTTTTTTTTTTGTTTTAATTAAAATTTTAAGACGCACAAATTAAAGTGAAACAAAAATCGAATAAATTTCGATTTGAACAAAGCGTTTGTCAAGTCGGAGAATAAAAATAATACGCAACAATAAAAGGAACACACACACACACACACACAAAGAAAAAATATATCGATATTGCTTTAACAGAACAGGACGTCAATCAATTTTCTTCGTCGCAAGTTATAATCAAAAAAGGTCAAAATAATTTTCGTCTTATTTCCACACAGGGAATTATCGTCGACAAAATGAAGGAGCAATTGATAACGACCAACTAATCATCGCTACTAACGATAGTCAACATAAATTAACCGAGCAATTATTATTATCAGAACGTACGGCTACCACGTTTAAGATAGATTCTTCGACCAACGTGTTGTACAAAACAAGAGACGTATTAAATTGGCTACAGACAGTAAATAAACCGATTAATATTACACAAAACACTGAATCCTTGACGTCAAAGCGGACGTCTAAGAACAGGACGTTTCAAATGCAGAATATATGCGGAGAAATGTTTAAAAATTATAAAGTATACAACATTAATAAAAAATAATATGTATCTTACTTGTGTGCCTAACACTTTCTATTCATTGAAAAATCTTATCTAGGAAGGAGATATGTACATTGTTCAGTGTGGCGCTTGCACATTGTTCTATAAAAATAGGATCTTGAGTCGACGTTACCCATCGGAGGTAAAATATCGGAATTTGTGTTACAAAAAAGTATTAGAAAAATTTTTAAAAAAATTATATTATTTTACAGTTTCCAGTCAAGATACATACTCGGCCGTCGTGTTTAAAAAATTCGCATTACGCATTACATACAGAACTACCACAAGGTTTACAAGAATTAAAAGATTTGTACAATATGTAAATAATGCAGCGTGCGTTCGTTATAACTGTTCTGTCTTTTTAACTTCTCCAACTTCATCTCGAACGTTCTTGGTTCGAATAAAAAGTCGAAAAAACAAAATGGTAAACACGCGGTAAACATTTTTCATTTTCGAACTGTGACGTTTAACGGGCGCATACTGTTTAATCTTGATAAGTGAGGATTTATCTCAGGAAAGCACTTTTATAGTTAATTTGTGTTATAATAAAAATATATACAGATATAGATTTTATATATATATAATATATATATATATATGTATATATATATATATAATTATATATATACATACAAAAACTTTATATAAAATAATCTTAGAAAGCAAAAAAAATATTCAGATTAAAAACAAAAGTAAGACATAAAATTTCAAAAACTTTTTTAATGTAACTTTAATATGGAAATTTACATACGATAAAGAGATTAAAAAATGTAACGAGTGAGATCAGCTAAAAAATTTAAATATTTTATGGAAGAGATAATAAAATTTTATATATTACAGCTAATGCAACTGTAAGAGAGATGCGTATATCCTAATTCTTATTATTGCCAAAAACAACAAGAAGACAGTAATGATAATATCATTATAATTATTTAATATTATTATAACAATTATTACTATTGTCTAAAACAATTAGACAATAGTAATAATATATTGTAAATATATAAATATCAGAGTCAAATGAGGGAATATTTATCTATAAACAAACGTGTGCCAGATTGTAAAAATTGTAGGGACCTTTCTTTTTGTCTTTAACCACAAGCAATCTACGAGATGCTACCAGTGCGAGAGTAGCTTGAAGATCGCCTCTCAAAATTTGATAATGAGCTCTTAAACTGGAACGTTTTAAGTTGTTATGCGGAACCGGGCGACCTCCAGCAAACGCGAACCTATAATTATGCCCGGTGTGTTACGCAATAAGAACATGATTGGAGAAAAAAAAAGAATTGTATATACGACGAAATATAAAAAAAAATATATATCTACATTTGTGTGTGTGTCTATCTATTTGTCTTGATTGAATGTTTATTTTACATACCGTATCTCGCGTCTCGGTCCTCTCAGAGTGGAATCAGGAAATACTGTTTGTCGATCCCATAGCGTTCTGTTGTGCAGCAACGATCTGACTTTAACGTCCTTCATCTTACCTCTAATGATGATGGGTAATGTGCCAGGTTTTTTTTCTTTTATTTCTCTTGCATTACCGTCACAGGTAGCAGGTAAATATGGCAATAACGAATCTCCATAATGCTCGATCAGAGGTGCAAGATGAAAAACATGACCTTGCGATCTCACGAAAGCACAAACTGTCAACTAATAATGGCAGACATGAAAAGACAAAATCTCGGGGAATATAAAAGAACAATTGAAATAATATGAAGTCGAGATACTAACAGCTACTCGTTGCCAAATATCTGAGCCAGGTAGAGCGTAATATTCCAAAATATTTTGTATGGAAAGTATGTGTTCAGCCTCGCGCTGGAAAAATATGAGAGGCTGAACGCTCGCTAATAATTCTATCGCCATTATCCTTTTTTTATAAATATTAATGCTCTCTTCACTTTGTAATTCGCTCATTAATTCACTCTTTACTAGCAGTACATTCTCTAATTTCGAAATATATCTGCAAACAAAAATATCATCTTGTTTGATTGTTTCCAAGAACAAGTGTGGAAAATTATTTCGAAGTTTCTTATCTTACTTGTTGGCAACGGATGGCCATCGAAGCATCAGTTTAATTGTGCACTCTTTAAAGAGCACCTCTAAATTTGGGTGTATAAAATTCTGATTCAACAACAATTCCAGCAATAATTCTACCAACACGTCCACCTGTAATCGATTTGATTTTTTGTAAAAAAGTCCAAGACATTTATATACATATAATACATTTTTCTTTGACAATTACTTACCGAAGTTAAATAATATGGATAGACAGCTGTACTATTGCTAGCAATAGCAAGTATAAGCTGACACGTCCGTGTAGAAACGCGCGTATATTGTGCATTATGTGAAAATATCGTAGATCTAACAATAGATATTAATTTATCTATGACTCCTTCATCACCCAAATGTGCATTTGTGGCACAATCGTTAAGCAAAACCTAGAATTACATAACACTGTATAACTTTAATGTAGTAGTATTAACAACAATATTACCATAAATTGTTTAATTGTGGTATTAAACAATTTATTCCTATTACCTGAAAAGTCTTTTGTGAACCATTAAATAAAGTTTTCAATGCACGCTGAGCATAATTGTTACGTGCTTCTGTGAGTTTTATATCGCATATCTCAGATTCTGCAAAAAACAATCTAATAATTCGCATACGCGACAGAGAAATTGCACAAAATACAAGCAGTACATGCACATGTACACACATTTCTCAAAAGTTTACCTTGCAGAAGCGGTACATTAGGCTGAGTCAAACTCACTGGATCATTTACATCATGAACAAGATTAACAACAGACTCGGTAGGTACATATACCTTTGCTTCGGTATGATACTCAGGCATGGATTCTGTCGCACCAAGAATTGGATCTACATCATACAAATTGGTAATTACCGCATTCACATCCATGGACGTTAAACGTTTTCGTTTGCTGTGCCTCAATCTCGTGACGCATTTCTAAAAGCGGAATAAATACAAAAATATCACACACGTATAAAAACAAGAAGAAGATATTTATTACTTATAGAAAAAAGATGGAAGATTTTTATATTACGCTTACATAGAGAATTTCTCTCAGACGATAGGAAGCATCTTCAGCCAATCTATTTAAAAGATCATCCTGCAACGAATTCATGCCCAGTTCCTCGCCAATAGCTGAGATCCATTCAGTACTGACCATAGCATATCTTCTCGAATCATTGTCGCTTGTAATGTTACTGGAACCTGCATTGTTGTTGGTGACAAAAGAATTACTGTATCCTGCGGTGGTTTGACTTGCCAACATTTCTCATAATTTATTATTCTTTCCTGTAATAAATGTATAAGAAACAAAATCTACATTATGTCATGTAAAAACATTTTCGCGAAACTTTGTCGTCACTTGTAGGACAACAAACAGATCACAATGTTTACAAACACTTGTTCGTATCGTGTACTTTATTCCGCGTATTGTACACAAGTAACTTACAATATGATCATAATTTTATTATGCGCGCGAATGAAATTATCTTACCGTAAATTTAATACAACAATTGACGTCAATACTGATAATAATAAAAACAATATGAGTTATAATTTATTCATTTTTTTTTTTTTTATATATAATATACACACGCGACTCTTCTCTCTCTCCTGAGAATATATATAAAAACACACACACGTGAAGTTGGGTGAGAAAAGAGGGGGAAGTGCACCGAGTGTTGCAAAGGTGGGATAATTTCATGCATTGCGCGCAAGAGTGCGCCATCGGACCGTTGTTGTTTAAATTCTCATTCTACACCAAACGCAAGTAACAAGTCTCAGGGAATTGACCAATCGCGTCAGTCAATTGGCTGATTTGATCAACGCGATTGGTCAATTCCACGAAACCTGCGATTTGCGTTTAATGTAAAACGGGCTTAATTCACAGTTCACAGATGGCAGTTCTGCGTGAGAAACACATGGGACGATGTCGCACGTGCATTCATTGGCGGCAATTCGCGGAAAAACTGAAAAGTGCAAAACGCAAAGTAGAGTTTTTTAAAACTATGCCGTGAGGAAAACGCGTTACGGTTTTTGTGATTTGCACGTGTCGTTAGTCACCTTGATGATTGATTTGTTCTGAATTTTGATTCGGTGAGCGACGCAAAAAATGGAAACTCCACAGGAATTTCCATTTCCTTTTCCAGCCTACGAAATACAAAAGCAATTTATGAAAGAACTCTACGAGTGTTTGGAAAATGGGAAATTGGGTCTGTTTGAGAGCCCTACCGGTACCGGAAAATCTTTATCTATTATTTGCGGTGCTCTCAAATGGTTGATCGATCATGAGAAATGGGAGAAGCAAAAATTGTTGTCCGCAATCGAAGAAATAGATGAAAAACTAAAAAATTGCAACATTTCATCTGACAATTGGTTTGCGGAGCAAACCGAACAGATTGAACTAAATGCCGAAAAACAACCTTTACAATCTAAATTAAATGCGCTTGTTGATTACGAAGGTGAAAAGGAGAAATTCAAGAAGTTGATTGAGTCAAAGAAAACTGCTGGAACTAAAACAATCAAAAAACTCAAACAATATTCTACCAAACACACTACCGAACAGTTTGCAGAATCGAGCAAATCAGAGAAGGAAGACGACTTGGATGTCTGTGATATTGAGAAGAATCTCATTTTGGAAGATGTGTTGTCTAATTCGGAAAGTTCAGAGGAAGAAGACAAAGAAGAACCTTTGTTTAAGAATACCAAGATTTTTTTCTGTTCCAGAACACACTCACAGTTAACACAATTTGTTCACGAATTAAAGAGATCTCCTTATTCTCAAGATATTTCTGTGGTGCCACTTTCATCAAGGTATATGATTGCTTGATCAAAGTTCTGTTCTTTGAAATCATTTATAAAAATATCTTGCTGTTGTTTTCTTTTTTTGCAGGCAAAATTATTGCATCAACAAAAATGTCAAGAAATTGAGGCATGTCAATTTGATTAATGAAACTTGTCTTCAGCTTCAACGAAAAAAGACCACTGTTAAAAAGGAAAAGGATATAAAGAGGTCAAAAATAGCAAGTAATTGTCCTTTTGTGCCAGGTGATCAGAAAATGTTGATGGCTGAAGTTTTGACAAATATTAAAGATGTTGAAGAAATTGTGCAGAAGGGTCAAGAAAGTAATACTTGTCCTTATTACGGATCCAGAAAATCTGTGCAAAACGGACAATTGATATTGGTCCCATATAATTCTATCTTACATAAAAACACCAGAACCAGTTTAGGAATAGATTTGAAGGGAAATGTGTTAATAATAGACGAAGCTCATAACTTGCTAGATGCTATTGAAGGAATGCACAGTTCTATAATTAGCGGGAGAAATTTGCTTCATTGTCATAATCAGCTGTCACAATATCAGAAGAGGTATTATATATATATCATGCTTCTGTCTATCTTATCATTAACTAATTAGTTTAGATAAATGCTTTTTTTCTGAAATCAATATTATTGTAGATTTGAATCTTTATTCTCAGCTAAAAGCGTATTGTACTTAAGCCAATTGAGTTTTTGCCTAAAGAAGCTTTTAACTCTGTTTGGAGCAACAACAAAGTCTCATCCTAACGACGAGACAAGTAAGACATTGGTGCCTAAATTATACAAGATAGAAGAATTTGAAGTGCTTACAGAGATTGATACAGTAAATATATTCAAGTTGTTGGACTTTGTGAAAGTTTCAAAACTTGTTCACAAACTGCAAGGATTTGTTGAGCAATATAGTAATAGTGTAAAAGTCAATAAACAAAAAGTAAAAAAGTCTGGTGTGACAGAATTTTTAAACTCAATTAAGAACAAAGATATATCGGGCGAAGAAACTATCGGTGTCACAGATACACCAAATGAAGATCAAACGAGCAATCCATTGATGGCAATTCTGAGCTTCTTAGAATGTTTAAAAAACAGCTGTGCAGATGGCAGAATATGTGTTTTACCTGGCATCACTATTGGACAAGGGATTATAAAGTTTTTGTTGTTAAATCCGGCAGCACATTTCCATGATATTGGTATATTACATGAGAATTTACTTATTTGCAACTGCTTTGTATTTTTCTTCCTACATATGTATGTTTATGATAGTCAAGGACGCAAGATCAGTGGTTTTAGCTGGTGGCACAATGGAACCAATGTCTGAATTTATAGACCAACTGTTCCTAATGGCGGGCGCTACTCCAGACAGAATTATGACTTTTTCATGCGACCATGTGATTTCGAAAGAAAATATTATATCTAATGTTGTGATATGTGGTCCAACCGGAGTTGAATTTGAATTCAATTTCCACAATCGGCAAGACACAAGACTGGTAATAGAAAGATCTCAGTTTCAAAGACATATAAATAGAATAGTTGAGAGACTTTACACGTATATAAATTTTAATATTCGAAAATAACACATAAGTACTGGCATGTATTTGCAGCTGGATGAATTAGGTAGAGCTCTCGTGAATTTATGCAACGTTGTGCCAGCTGGAATTGTAGTTTTCTTTCCATCTTATAACTATGAAGATACAGTGTTTAAGCACTTAGATAAATCTGGCGTCATAACAAAACTTTCTGCAAAAAAGCGTATTTATCGCGAACCTAAATTAGCATCTCAGGTATTAGATGTACATAATTATTCTTGTATATTTTTTAAATATATTAATCACAAATGTATCATATATTTCATATTAACGTAGGTCAGTGTGATATTAGATCAATACGCAAATTCTATAAAAAATCCACAATCACCATGTAATGGATCATTGTTGTTCAGTGTAGTTGGTAAACAAGTTATTGCAAATTTCTTGCATTAATTATTTTTTCACGTGTAATTAAACATACAATCAATTTTACCTATTTTACCTGATATATTTTATAGGCGGCAAATTAAGCGAAGGTTTAAATTTTTCTGATGATTTGGGCCGATGTGTTATAGTGGTTGGCTTGCCATATCCTAACATTAAGTCACCAGAATTGCAAGAAAAAATGAAGTATTTAAACGAACATGTCGTATGTGTCATTTCACATAGAATTTATTACGAGATCAAACGTAACGAGACGTGTTTCAATCAACTTTTTTCACTTTCTACATTTCTGTTTAAGAAACCGGACGCTGGAAATAGGTTCTATGAAAATTCTTGTATGAAAGCAGTGAATCAGTGCATTGGTCGATCCGTTCGTCACATTAACGATTATTCGACAGTTGTGCTGTTAGACAAACGTTATTGTCATAAAATCAAAGTACTACCCCAATGGATTCAACGTTCCGTAAAAGTCAACGATACTTTTGGATCTGTAATTGGTAGTATTGCAAAATTCTTTGCAGAAAAAAGAACTAAGAAAGTTTAATCTCTGTAAGTGTTTTTAATATAATATAACCGAATTAAACGTTTATACAAAACATTTACTTTTATAAAAAAATATAATAAATTTTATACAGAAAAATTATTTTTATGCTATAAAAATTTAATTATTATTTATTAGAAAAACGTTACATATAATTAGCCAACTGAATGCCAAATTTGTAAATTAGATCATGACAATAAACTTGTCCGGGACGTAGAATGGAAGAAGGAAAATGTGGCTGAAAGAAATTAAACTTATAAATCGATGAATTAGCGTAATATTATTTTGAATTACTTACGTGATTGATAGCATTTGGATAATTCTGTGGTTGAATGCTAAAAGCGCAATGTTTTACATAGCGAGCACCTCGTTTTCCCAAAATAAATCTCGGCGATTCGTTTTCTGATGTAACATCTTGCTCTCTTTGAGTTTCTTCTTCATATTCTTCTTCATCATATTTAACGGTATTGTTGTCGCTAGTCTATGGTAAAATTGAATTTGTTATTTTATTATTAATTATTTTAAAACATTTCGATTGATACTTTCGTGCTGCTTCAATTCTTTTGTCATTAAATAATTGTAAGGACAAAAATTTGTTTACTATATAAATTGTGTATTATCTTTATTATTATTATCTTTTAGTTAATTAAAAATTTATGTAGAAAACCGTACCTTCTTAGAAGTAGTATATGACGGTAGACGACCGCCTGTGTAAAACTGCACACCAGGCTGATCAGAATAAATCTCCAAAATGCTGTGTAAATATTATTAAAAATATTTATTTATAAGTTTAGAATAATAGGATACGTATAACGTGTTATCTCGATGCTGAATAATTTATAAACGTATAAATCTCTTATATAATTCTTACCGACCGCTTTTTGGATGCACGGCTTGAGCAACGTATGTGGTACCTCCGTGCCAATTCGGTGTAATGCAGAAGTTATGATCGTATCCTTCTCCCGGTGGAACCTGCGACGTAAAAGAAATTTATATTTTATATATGATAAATTTATATAATTCGCTACGTTATCGGGTCAACCTAACTTGTTGCACAATTGCAAAAAAACACATTACTTTTTCGATGCAACTTTCAAGAAACTTCGGTATACGCAGATCCATGACGGTTCCGCCGACACCTCGAATGGCGCCGGTTGGTATTGGATTTGTGTAATCTGCGAATGTCCAACGATCACAGTTCAACGCAATTTTGTGTTGCATCAATTCTTTCTTTCCAGCGTCCTACGTTACATGATGCAAGTAACTTGGTATATGTCATTGATACTTTGAAGTTAAATATGTGTGTACATGTTTTAAATACTTTTCTTCTGTAAGTTATAGAATGTGGTGGTCAACGTAAATATTACACAAAATGTAATTACGTGGCCAGCAAGGTTGAACAAAGAGCCGTGTGAGATGTTCACTATCGTGGAGTCCGTTGTTGTTGCTCGGATACCTATTTCCAGCTTGTTGTCAGGTGTTAATTTAAATCTCACCATACTCAACACCGCGCCAGGATACCCTTCCTCGCCGTCTTTGCTTAAATAAGTCATGACAACCGAGCATCCGTCGATGTACGATTCCCACAACCGTCTGCCAAAACCTTTTATCTAAAATAAACAAAAAGATATAAATAAATTTCTAAGCTATGCAAAACATATGAAATATGGGCGGACTTACACCTCCATGTAAATGGTGTTTATTACAATCATTTTTCGTGAGTTGATAAATTTTGTCTTTAATAACAACACAGCCATCTTTTATGCGATTTGCACATCTACCCAATATACATCCAATAAATGGATTAATTTCGGGATCCGTATAGCCTGCGCAAAAAAAACTAATAATAATTAAATTCACAAGTCGAAAACTATTTAATTACAATTAATTTCGATTTAATGAGAAACAGAGAGAGAGAGAGAGAGGAGAGAGAGAGACAGAGAGAAAGAAAGTAACAAAAATAAATAATACCGGAAATAATTACGTAATTATGTCAAGGATTCGTACTCTCCAAATCATCGAAACCAAGAACCACATCTACCACGTGTCCAAACTTATCAGGGTACTTTAACGAAACAATCGTGGCACCCCAAGAAATGACAGTAATTTCCACATGATTTTTGTTGATCATCGTATATGATTTTACTGGTATCAGTTTGTTATTATTAATGTACGACGATAATTCTTCCTTGTAATATTGTTCGCTGTCGTAGCGGCGTATTTGGTCCTCTGGAGATTCTAATATATAAATGCAACACGATCTTTATCTCATTATTATCTCTATTTTCATTAATTAAAAAGTACCAGTAAATATTTCTCCAAATATTCCTTCTGCAATTGAGACATCTTTGCAACCGCAATTGTAGGTGACCATATTTCAGCGGTTTGATAACGCAATTATTTACAGTATAAAATACTGACAAAGAATTTTTGGTTAAATTACACAGTTCCACAAGCGTTTTATGTCAAATAATTCGTGACGTTTGTAGTTTTGCGATGAAATTAGTAAGTAATTGTTGTCTTGATATTTTATATATATATTTCACACACATTTTAAATTGATATTTTATATATATATTTCACACTATTTTAAATTATATTGATAATTTATGTAATTTAAATAATTATAATATTTATATATATAATTCTAAATATATATATATATATATATATATATATATATTATGTACAATTGAAAAATATATGAACATATATATATTACAAGTCACAGAAATATCAAAAATTTTTCTATAAAGTTTACTTTATGATTTAATTATATTTTAAAAAATCGAAGACAGAACATACATGTTAACTGCAATATGTTTTGTTTTACGATATGTGTGTACTTTTATTTTAATTAAGTTGTTTTCGGGTCTGTTGAAAAATTAGTTTTTAAATTTAATACGCTATATTAAATGTTCTCTGTCTTTCTTTCTGTTCTTTCATCTTTATATTTTTATCTCTCTAATTTATCTGTGTGCGCGCACAGATAAATTTTTCAAGCATACAAATATCAAGAGGAACTACAGCGAAGAATATACATCGATCAGACGATTTATATATTTACACAATTTAATTAATCTTCTTGGTCGTGGGGGTTTTTCATTGTTGCTAAATCGCTCAAACGGCATGCACAATCTCAATATATAGGTAATACAACTCCTTTTTACGTCACAAAGTATATATATTTACATGTTTTTGGATGCGACATATTATAAATAAACAGATTAAGAACAACAGGATCTTGTCTATTATACACTTCAAGAGGCTGATGAGAGTATTTTTTTTTTATCTGTTTTCTGAGTACTTTAGCCGGATATTTGTATATGTCTATTCGGTAAATCTAATTAAATCAATATAATAACTATATTGTGTACGTGTGTAAATGTGAGATGTGAGTGTGTTACACTTTATTGTTATTACTATAAAAAAAACTCCGTGTTAGTTTCGTGTGTTCTTAACGTACATGTTGTGTTGGCGCATAAATCTGATAAATTTATCTTGTATCTCAAAATATGCAATTTGATGAGAAAAAAAAACGGGACTAACAGGAAGAGGAGAAGTTTTTTGTTACAATGTCACAAAAGCAATATTGAATGTTTGACAGAAGAAAGTTACCTCTTTCACACATATATCATTATTTTAAATCTAATAAATTTAGTTGTTTTTTTTTTTATTATCGATACAAGTAAATGATTGCGTAGACGTGTCTGAGGAAATTCTTCTCTCAAACGCAATTGGTTTTGTTGATCACTCTTACCATTGCTCTTTGCTACTGTTTTTGCTTTCATTCGAGAATTATTTCATCTAAATTTGTTAATCACGTGACAACTGTTTCGGTGCGGCGCGTTTCAACGAAAGAAAGCATTTTTGCGCAAATTGATGACTAATCATAAATTTTCACGTCAAGTGTATTTGTCCGCACCGAAATGGTGAAAAAAATATCTCGAAGAAATGAAAAAGTTGTCGTTACATGTTATTGCGTGATATATCCATATGAACGAGAGAGATACACGATAAATTTATTGAGTTTGTTTACAGAGAGACATATAATAGACTGATGTAAAGAGACTTCTATTACGTTTGATATGATACAACGTGGTTTATCTCGTATATATTTATATATATATATATATATATATATTCTCTGAACACACCTTCCTTATACAGGGTGTTTCAGAACTATGGGATCAAACTTCTAGGGGTTATTCAGTGCAACAGTAGAAAACATTTGAGTATAGGGACCCATGTCCGGAAAAGTGTCACTACCGCACTACGGCCCTAAGACGCGTTAAAATTTAGAA